GGCGTACTGGCACGAGTTGCCACCCTCGCCCTCGCAGTCCGCGACGTCCGTGCCGTAGGCACAAACATAGCCCTCGTCGCACTCGCCGTCTTCGGTCCAGTCGCACGTCTCGTCCTCGTCCTCGTCCTCGTCCTCGTCCTCGTCCTCACCGAAGGTGTTGTCGAAGCTGAGCCAGGTCTCGATCTCGTNTTCGTCGTACCATGCGGGATATCTGTCCCTCCACGTCGCGTCGCACAATTCCCCGTTGCAGTCGCACATGCCCGCGTCGTCGCATTCGCAGTGGTTCAAGCAGCAGTCGGACACTTCCTGGTCCCAGGGCGTGCCGCAGCAGAAGTCGACGTCGCAGACGTAGCGATCGTCTTCTTCGTCGAAGCCGCAGTAGATGCCCTCGTCCGCGCAGTACGGCACGTCGTCATCGCTCTCGTCATAGTAGTAGTCCTCGTCCTCGTCGTCCGAGGAGCCATCGTCATAGTAGTAGTCGTAGTCGTCGTAGTCGTCGTGCTCCAACCTTCGCCGCGCCGGCAGCGCGCGCACGCGCTCCGCGGCGGCGCGCTGGGGCCCGGCCGCGCAGAGGAGCAGCCCCAGGGCTGCCATGCTCTCGAGCAGCCCGACTGCGCCGCGTTTTCCCAGAGCTAAAATTTCAGGTGCAACTTTCCCCAACTTGAAGCGGCGCTAATTACTCCGGGCCCTCGTCGGCCTTGCCCGCGCGCTGGGACGCGCGCTTCTGGGCGTTGCGGTTGAAGGACGCGCGCATGGACGCGCGCTTCGGCGGCGGCCGCGGCTTGTTGCGCGCGACGAGCGAGCCCGCGACGTTCGACTGGCCGAGCGTCGGCGTCACGACGGTCTCGAAGGACGACTCCGACTGGTTCTCGAGCAACCCGAAGGCCGTCGCGGGCCAGACGGGCTTGGGCGTCGACGTCGACACGCTCGGCGGCCGCGGCGCCTTGGCGAGGCCGAAGCCCGGGAACTTCCAGCGGAGCTTGCCCTCGGGCGCCGTGTGGCGGCTCCACGCCGCGGAGCAGTCGAGGCGCGGCGACGCCGGGTCCTCGGGGTCCAGCGCCGGCGCGGCGTCGCCGCCGTCGCGCAGGCCCGGGAAGCGGTGCTGGAGGTAGCCGAGGCGCAGCTCCGCCTTGTCGTCGGCGCACGGCTTGAACGTCAAGACGAGCTTCGCGCCGTCGCGGATCTTGTAGTGGCGCATGGTCTTGTCGTCGTGGAGCTCCGCGCCGCGGTAGGACAACACCTGCAGCTCCACGGGCGCCTTACGGCCGAGCTTGCCCAGGCTCCCGACGACGTGCTGCTTCATGACGCCCACCGTCGTGCCGTCGTGCGCGCTCATGAGCTGCGTCCACGGGTTCGTCGCCGGGCAGCGGCACAAATTCGTCGACCGGCTCTCGACCTTGAGCGTCATGGCGTTCCCGAAGGCGAAGCTCAGGCGCCGGTTCGCCATGCGCAGGCTGCCCTGGAGCTTGCCGCTGAGGCCGTAGGAGCCGCGGCGGACCTCGCCGTTACTGTCCGTCGTCTGCGGCCGCGACCCGGCCGGGCTGCCGCCCTGCATGGACGACCGCCGCGCGCCGCCCTCGAGCGACGCGCGCCGCACGCCGCCGCCGCCGCCGCGGGCCGACGAGTGGTGCGACGCCTGCGACGGCTGCGCGCTCGGCAGCTTCCGGCCCTTGTGCGTCGGGTCCTTGCTTCCGAGCGTCGAGATGGAGCCGTCGTCCTCCTCGATGGCCGCGCGCATGGTGCCCGTCTTCGCCTTGGCCAGCATCATGTTCGCGCGCTCGCCGCC